GGACGCGCTTCTCTGATCGAATGACACGGAGCTCACCTCTCAGGGGCTCCAAATGCTGGCATGCTGTCTGCGTTTTTAATCACATCCCCATGACGTCAGAACAGGGAAGGGACAGATTTGTCTGTCTGAAAGATAATGAAACCAAAGCCGAGGGTTTAAATCGCCGGCCTCAGGTCAGCTAGTAAAACCAGCTTGTCAGAAAGCCCGGATTTTGAGTTTTCGGACCTATTGGTAAGTCCAGGGTAATTGATCTTAAACACGTTTTCCACGTGTGTGTGCATGTGTGTGCAAGAGCACGCGCTTTGGTGGCACTGAGATCTGAATGTGTCCATAAAGACTGGTGTGGCCCTTGAGCGAGGACAGCATGCAAATTCACAAAACGTTCCATCTGTTTTTTTCTTTTAGAGAGATTTTTGCCATGGGGTACGTGCACTCGCTGGAGACACAGATGAGAGACAGAGAGAGAGAGAGAGAGAGAGAGAGAGAAACCCAGAGAGAGAGAGAGGGAGAGAACCCCCCCCCCCCCGGGATGGTCATACCGCAAGCCCTTTTCCTCCTCTGAGGACAATGTTCAATTTTTTAAAGGTGATACTTAGAGGGTCAGCATGTGGTGTGGTCGTTGAGGTGCTGGACTCCCACACGCTGACCACAGTTCGAGTCCCAGACCTGGTGGCTTGTTTTCTTATTTTCCCTCTCTCTTTGTTCCTCTGTCTTTCTCTGGTGAGCATACATGCCCTACAGCAAACTTAAAATAATAGTAAAATTAATTAATTTTTAAAAACTATGCTTACAGAACTTTGCAATTAAATCTGATAAAAGGTTATTTTTAATACCTCTTGAAACTTTCCACAGATCTCTTTAAAATACTCACGTTGGATATTGAAAAAAGTGGAAAGAAAACATCATATTGAATTCGACTTTTTTTTTTTAACCTTAGAATTTTGGATTTGGGGCAAAAAATGGCCACGATTGGCCATGTGGGACCCAGCTGCCTTAAACACCATGCCACCTGGCTGACCCTAGATGACATATTTTGAGTTGACATTTTAATGCTCTAAAGCTGAAAATAAAACATTTCATTCCAATTTTACGATGATTATTGTAGTGGATGAGCGCGCGCCTATTTTAGAACTGTTCATTTATATGGTTTCAGTATTGTTCATTTAAATTAATTAAGTTTACTCATTCACACTCATTTGAAATCACGCTAGAACTGTCACAAACGACTTGTTGATGGTAGCTGGAATTTTAGAATTCCCAAAGCCTGCACCAAAGCTTTCCAACTCTCAAAGGTCCCCACCCTTTGCCAGGATAACAACCCTCCCCGGAATAGAGCTGGGTCCCCACAACAGCAGGAGGAATTGATGGCTCCTGGGGGACAATGCTGAGAAAACGAGGCACTGGGCAAGCCCACAGGCACTGCGGGAGGATGTCGCGAGCCTGAGCAGGCCACGAGGAGCACGCGCAAAACACACGCCAGCCTTTAACCAAAGTGTCCGAGCACCACTGTGTTTCCTGCCCCCTGGATGGGAAACATCGATACGTTCTAGATCATCGGCTGGTCTCCTTTCCCCATAGTGGTTTCTTTTCTTTCTTTCTCTCTTTTTTAAAGAATTATTTATTTAATTTTATGTATTACTGTTATTTTTAAAATTTGACCACAAAGAAAGTGAGAGAAAGTGAGAGAGCAGGCTGCCAGGTCTGGGACTCAAACCTCTGTCGGCCATGTCAGCCCGGTGCCTTAACCACCACGCCACCTGCCAGCCCCCATCTCGGTTTCTAAAGCGACAGAGGCTGGTCTTGCCACATAACCAGAGGAAATCAGAGTAGGACAACAAAGGGGACCAGACACGGAGCTGCTCTGC